GGAATGTGCATTGAAATAAGTGAATCTTGCATTATGGCATTCATAGACAGGTTCGACTGTGGTACTAGAGTCTCAAATGACAATTATCAGCCTGAAGCAACTGCTCCAAAAGCCTTTCGGCTATTTTTCAAGTGTTACTATATTGGCTGCCCCAAATACCGGGAAATTATGTTTATGTAGGAGCTCAAAGTTGGCAGATGTTTAAGAGTAAGAATAGATGGGCTGGCAGAGGAGTCAAGTAATCTGGCCCATAAAAGGAAACGATAAATGCAATTAACCTGGCTCATTCTCACCTGGTATATCGATGTCATTGAATTTGATAAAGACATCATAGGTACCAGACTTGGTAGGCAGATAGTCGACAGTGCAGGTGCCATCCTTGTTGTCTTTACATTGTATTTGAGCATCTGCCGGTCCTTCAATGGCCAGCCCAAGACCGCCTTGACCGGCGCCGTCCAGGTCCACCGTGAAGCGGGCCGTTTCATGCGTCATACCCGTTTCCAGGCCGGGTCCAAAAGCTCGCACTCGAGTCGGGTCGCAGCCTGGGATGACGGAGACAGGAAACGGACTGCTGGGCACCGGGGCCCCATCGTAAGTGACCTCGACATGATGGAGTCCTGGTTTGTTGGTAATGGAAAGGTGGGATCGCAAAAACGCTACAAATACAGCCGGCGTTTTATGGGAAGATTGGAAGCCGACGATAATATGAGGTCGAATGGTATTAGAACGTAGGAATTAAAATGTATGAAATCGAGAGGAATCCCATTAATGGATACGGATCTAGGAGCTCACTGATTAATGATGGGTGTAGAATCACTTGAAAAGAAGATACCGCCATGACAACAACTCATATAAGGGCATCGCAGGAAATAAAAAAGTTGCTATGGCGATTGTTGCTCGCCAAAATGTCATACGCTTAGTAGAATGGAAGACATTCTAGCCTGGCCCTTAGGCCCTTACATTCTTATTTATAAAATTCTGGAAGCAAGGCATGTTTGTGGAGATTTATTGATCCGACTGAACATTGCTGTTTAGAAGTAAGAACTTTGAAGGTCCTATGCTCAGAATCCATCTTTTTGCACATAAATTCCTGTCAAAAGCTCAGCTCGAAAACTGTGCGGGGATGCGTGACATGGTGTTGGATGTCACGGCGACCACATATGAGAATATATCGGTAGGTGGTCAGCATTGTTACATGCTCTCTGCTGGATTAAAATAGCCTTTGGATGCAATTCCTATATCGACTGCCCAATTTTGTCAGTTTAACTCTGGAAAGACACACCGAATACTTCAGAGGATTCGCTCTAAAATGTATTCACTTTCGCAGATAAAACCACATCTTACTTCACGGACTTCACCGATTCAAGCTCACTATATCTATAGACTTGGAGATAGCACTAGGTTTATAGGTTCGAGCCTTTAAGAGGTAATTGAACATGCCACTTTTTAGGTGGTTATTCCGAAACTTTGCTAACCCATGGCTAAATAGAGGCTGTTTGAGGAGTTCGTCT